TATATGTGTGTGTGTGTGTGCGTGTGTGTGTGTGTGTGTGTTGTGTGTAAATATTTATATATATACATATATATATATATATAATATATATATATATATATAAATATATATATATAATCACGCACACGAATTCTTATATCATATGATTTTTGAGCATCAATTACATACCAGTCAACAGCGCCAATTCTCCGTTCAGTTTATCGCTTTCTGCTTGTTCAACCGCTACTTCTCTCAAAACTCGTGCTCTCCTGTCTTTGATTTCAACTATTCCTTTTGCCAGATCAATGTTGTAGGCCTGTAGAGCGGCAGCATGTTGCGACATGTTTGCTTTCAAAAACGTATCATGTATACAAAACTTGATCTATATATACGATAATTATATCCTATACGGTATTCAATCCCTTGGACGGCTTTTCGGGGATGCAAAGAATCTTCAATTGTTTTAACAGGAATCGTCAACGTGATTAAGGTCCACAGTGCCGTTTGTATATTGTTATTCTATGCGACCAACGCACCTATAGAAGCTATGTGAATATTTATTTACTATGTATAGTCTATATATACAATAAATACATGATATTTGTAGTTGAATACAGAACACAACGGTGAGTCTGTGATTGTAGACACTTCAATTCCACACTGCAGGTTTTTTTAATGAAAATACCATAGCCCTCTCAATCTCATAGCCTCTTAAATTGAACACCCTCTAAATTATACACAAATTTTATATTTTTTACCGCCAAAAGGTGTCCGGGGTTGATTGGATGAGAATCTCGTCAAGACAACCGATCTGACATTCTGTATGGCTATAAATATATATTCTTGGGTCGGCAATTCGACAGGATACAATAAACCCTTGGAACCCTAAAACCCTATACCCAATGGAGTCTGGTATTCCGCCCTCCGGCCTCCTGAGCGGCTGAGCCCTGAGGGCGTGAGCCGTGAGGCTGGTCCTCTAAATTTGAAAATATATATGTAAACACATTTGTTGCAACAAATACATAAAAATAAAATAAGCAATAGAAATCGTGACATCACTTCGTGTGTGAATACTGAAATGTGATTTTGTATACGTAGTCGTACCAACAAGAGCAATAGAACTCGCTACAATTTTACTAAATATGTATTTATTTGTGTGTATAACTGTATATAGATAATGTTCGTATATTTATGTATATATATATATACATTCCGATGTTGATATCAAAGATTAATTTTCAGATACCGCAAAAAATACTTAACATGTCGTATGCACCCGTACCACGATCAAAAGCAGGATATCTGTGGGGTTCATCTAACGCGCAAGTGCAAGTCGAGTTTTTTCATGATGTACAATGTCCGTTTAGTAGAAAGTTCTTTAACACTTTGTATCCACTGATTAGTAAACCTGCACCTGAAGATAACAAGTTCGCGATTACTATATCCTGTGGTGTACTGTTTGGTCACAATCAAGCCTTTGAGACTACAAGAGGGGCCATCCATGCGGCAAAGGTATCTATTCTTTTCCTGCATATAGCATGTATATGTACATATGTATAATGCATATATGTTCACATTTGTTTCGCTATGTAAAATACACGCATGCATCAACGTCTGAGCTGTGCTGTCAGGCCACCACCAGGCATTCGAGACAACCAGAGTGGTTATTCCCACAGCAAATGTACAGAGTTGGGTTCTTTGTAGTGCTGGTCTTTCTAGCACATAATGTATACTTCTAAAACGGGACGAAGGTATCTTCGCTATATGGACCTCTATTATGTACCGTAGGTACACATGTCGTGTTCCGACTTAGAGTACGTGTGCGCATGTGTGTATCTGTTTATTGGTATATAAGTGTACATGGGTTTGTTTGGCTACTTATAGTACACAACTTAAATTAGCAAGGCCACTCAGAGTCAACTATCATTTATTGGTGTATACTTGGGAAAGAAGTTATATAAGTGTTCCACCCATATATGCTTTTGTGTGCCGATTTGTCTGTTTGAATTTGACACATTGTTGCGTGACACACACACACACACATATATATATATATATATATATATTTATATCTTATATGAGAACACGCCCGATTGAAT